AAGAGAATGAGCGACCTCGGTGTTTTAAGTCAACACATCAATCTCTACGTGCTGTTACACAATATGTTAGTGTTTGACCGAGATTCTCCTCCGATTTGTCGCGCGCGCCTTAATGTTGTGGCACAAAAGGGGTCCCAACAGTTTTATGTCGACTCTGAACGGCGATTTGGTTGTAATGGGAAGCTGTTTTTCATTTTCAAGCTGTGCGCACTGCTAACCATTACACCACATCGGCCTATATACGAAACCTATATTTAGATAAATTTTTTTGGATTTTGGTATCGATATTTGGAATTTCGAGTCTTTTTATTCCGATATTAACGGGTACCCGATATTTTTAAAGCGATACTTTAAATGAGTACCATATCGATACATTCTGTTCGATATCGTGTCCCTAGGTACATATACTAATCATCAACTATTGCTTGTGCAAAGTTCAACTATCTCGAAATGTAACTATTTCACAAATTAAACCGGTGCACTGGGAGAAAGAAGTTTGGAATTAAAAAAGCCTGCTAAATTAAAAAATACGCATATGAAAGAGCACTGACCCAACTCGTAATACATTTAAGTATACAAATTTTAGTATTTAGTATAGAAATTTTCAATTCAAATACGCCCATATTAAAATTAAGCGATTTGCAATTACCGATTGCTTTTTCATAATTAAGTTAAAAAATATTTAAATCCCATGCTGGTTGTAATGGGAAGGGCTCTGGAAATTAGCAAATTGTGGCAAGCATCTTCGCGCACTCAGCTACAGCCAGACATGTAAATGTGCATTTAAATGTTGAGTTTGAATCAATCAACACCACGCGCGCGTGTTATTAATTACGAACATTTTTAAACGATAATCAAATAGAAAATATTCATGTTTACTATGCGTTATTTCTCTCATTGAATTCATAACATTTTTCTGAATATTACAACGCTTTTTTTCTCTTCTATTCTGCACGTTACCGAAGATTTTGTAACCGGAATATTGTATTACCGAAAAATGTTACCAGTTCTTGTCACCGCGATTCTAGTTACGTTGGTAATGCAGTTAAAATATTCAGCAACTCAGCTATGAAGAATTGTGGAAATTCTGGCATTGCATATTTCACGGGGCAATACTTTGTTACCAGCTTATGGGATGGTAACCAAATTTACCGTTTACAAGAGAGCACAGAATGCGAAAAAGGTTTGAAAATTTTCAGACCTTTTAATTACCGGTTACAAAATTTATGTTACCAGCGCAGAATAGACCTGTTAGGGTGGTGATTTTTGAACTTTTATTCAAATTTGTGCAATCAAATCAAAAACCGGGACACTAAAACGAAACCCGGGACATTTTAAGGTTGGACCGGGACACCGGGACAAATAGTCTAAAACCGGGATATGTCCGGGAAAACCGGGACGTCTGGCAGTCCTATGTATGTATGTACATGATGTATGTATGCAAATATGTATGTAAGAATGTCATTGGTATTTTACGTCTAGGTACGTTAACACATATATTGAATTATTTCAAACTATAACAAATTTGGAGTATAATAAATATTTACTTTTAACCATAATGCTGCTTTTTCCACTATTTTTAAGAATTAGTGATTTAAAATGTTGTTCCGACAGCATAAACTCATCGTAGAATATCTGCACGAATCTTCATTACGAACTGATTCAATGAATTTACGTTCGTAGCCATTCGGATTCTGATAGCACTTGCGTAGATTTTTTCCGAATAACTGCAAAAAATAGTTGCGTTCGATAACAAAATTAGTCAACACCAGCCAACAATCAAAATCAAGAGAGTAAGCGAAAACTCTCTCCCAAAGAGATGAAAAAGCAAAAAAGTAAACGAACAGGAAATTAGCCATTACTTGCAAAAACCGGAAGAAGAAGACACACCAGCTGACTTTGTTTATGTTTTATTTGTAAACAAACTGAAATTCATGTTGCCTCCATAGAAGAAAAAAGGAAAGTGAACGTTCAGTGTTCGCCAGGAACATTTCTAGAAGTAAAAACTAGTTGGCGCTATCATAAAGTCACATAGCAGGCAGCCAAAAAGCATATAAATACCAAAACTCGGAAAATGCAATTTTGTTTGTTTACAGAAATTGCAACCATATGTTTTGTGATCATATGTTTTCGTGTTGGATAATTTTTGCTGACTAAAATTTTGCCAGTACAAAATGAACGCTTGCTCTCTCAATTTTTGTGTATTGGGTAATTTTTTGTCGTTATCGAACGCTATCCAGTAAAAATTTGGAAAACTATTACAAATTTTTGACTTGTCGAACGCACCTAATGACGCTCGGAAAAGCATCATCAAACAACTTTTTTTCGAATAACGGAAGTTGCAAGCATTTCCTTCCGTACCCATGGCGAAAACCTGTTTTCGCACCATCTGTGGGTCATTAGTGTTAAAATTAGAAAATACATTCACCGTCAGTGTGCGGCTTCTGCTCCGATCAGAGATTTACTACAGTTTTTGAAAAATTGTATTTCTACTCCTCTCCTCTATCCAATTGATACAATCCTGTGTGTTCCGCGCCATCTGTGGGTAATTAGCGTTAAAATTGAAAAATACATTCCTTGGCAGTGTACTCCACTTGTCTTGGACGCGGTTTTAAGCTAAGCTAAATCGCTCTGATAGAAGGAAACTGGTTCATAAAAATGAGTCAATAAAGTAATACCATGTCTTCATTGAGAGATTTATCTATTAAGAATTAATAAATCTAGTTGCTAAATCACAACCGTTTCCTTTGCCACAACGTATCTCGTTGTTTGATGTTCACATTTTTTAAATATTTGACGTTTGTTTATGAACGATTTTATAAATAAAGTTGCGCATATTGAAATACAGACAGATAAAGGTACCAGAGCGGAATTTCATTATGTGAATTCTTAATATTACTGGCTTTTTATTCGTTATGTATAGTATATAGTTCGGAAAATGTAACCAACGGTTCTAGATTTCGAATAATTTTCCCGAATTTAAGGAAAATTTATCAAAACGGCAAAAACAACATTTCCGGAAAGAAAAATTGTTAAAGAGAGAATCCAATCGTGGGCCTTTGACATATCATGAAGACCTAGCTAGAAAATGTTATTTTCAACGCATTTCTTTAGTCAAATTGAGCTCTAGAGGATGTTTGGTGCAATGTAATCGAATCATAACCATTACCGAATTTTATAAATTTTATGTCGCACGCGTTAAAGATTTATAGAAAACGGAGAAGACTGCAAAATATTAGCTCTTATTCAGTACTCCATGAATTTACAGGATTTTACACGAACTTGCAGGATGTTACAGGAAAAATGATTCCATACTCCAAAATTCTGTAAATGAGAGCGATTTTTGGAGAGTTCTGTAGAAAATGAAATTGCAAGATTTTACCCGAACCTTTTGTTCTGGTAAAATCATGTAAAGTGTCAAGCGATCGGCTGTTTGACGTTTTCACAGGAAAAATGCTTTTTTTGTTACCGTACTTTTTGGTTGTTACTCCCTTTTTACTCTTACTTCAGAGAGTAATTTTGCTGTTTGACATTTTTACAGGATTTTACCCGAAAAGTATTGGATCAGGTCTATTATCATAAAATATTTCTTCTGAAATTTTGGTTTTTAAAATAGTATATTCTTAATTTATTACAACCAAAGCAATGTAAATATTTATAATTTGCCTTTAAAACTAACCAAAATATAAAAAACGTCTAAAAATACGAAAACGCATGCATTTTTGGTGGGTTAAACTTCAATGTCCGCAACTGTATATTGAAAATACAAGTGTCGGTTGACTTATGGCATGTGAATTCGTGGCTCCCACACCCAACAAATTTTATTTTTAGTTCAATATTATTGAAGATTTAACAAAGATTTAACTTAAATCTATCGAGATTTAATTTTTTGATATATGGATGTAGAACTTGGTGGATGCAGAATTTCATTTAAGTTGTTAAAAAATATATGTAAAAAGAAATTAATATAAAGTAGAAAAGGTCTTATTGCTCATTAAAAAAAGGTCCGTTAGATATATTCTACTTTATAGAAAATACTAAAAACTTCCTAAATATGTAACATATTTTCCTTTGTAGTACATCTGATGTAACGCCGAACGAGGGGCAACCCCGATTTGGGTGGCAACCCCGGTCTCCTCAAAATGGTGATGGTCGAAAATGACAGTTCAACTGTTTCCGGTGTAATGAATGATGATTATTTCGATTGGTGTGATTCTGTTCACATGTGACAGAAGTTAATCTTAAAATAAAGTTATCATCTGAGTCTGATTATAAATTCAGGTGTGAGGTTTATACTCCACGTGACCAGCGAAATCGACAATACTTATTATATTCGCGGAAAAGCCGACAATGACAGCTAGAATGACGCGAAACCAGATTATGGCTGCACTTGCAGATGCGGGAGTGGCTTTTGATAATGAAGCCACTTTGGTGCAACTCCGTGCGCTCTACGAAAGGGCACAACGCGGCAGCCTACCTCAGCAGCAACGCCCTGATGCTTTACAGCAGGCAGATGCACCACAGCAGCCAGATGAACCACAGCAGCCAGCAGTACCACAGCAGCGCCCGCAAATTTTTCAGCAGCCAGGCGTCCAACAACAAGGGGATGCGATACAGGCACCAACAACTATGCGCTGCCAGCTTCTGGAGCAACCGCCTCCAGTGGGGTCGGATCGCTCGTCGCCGTCTACGGTCCGTCAGCGGTTATCTGAAGCTGAGGAAGAAGAAGAGTTACTAAACCGACAGCTAGCCATTGCCCGGAAAAGGCGAGAGCTGCAAATATTGCAACAGGAGCTGGGCGTCAATGAGAAACGTTTAGACCTGGCCATTCTGGATGCTATGGTCGTCAAGTTCGATGGCTCAGAGCTACAAGACGTACGCAAGTGGACCGGTGACCTAGAGAACGTCTTCGAAGCGTACAATTATGCTGAACGCGACAAGCTAGTGGCAGCCCGCCACCTGATGACTGGGCAAGCGAAGCGTTTTGCATCCATCATAACGGTGCGATCGTATGGGGAGCTTAAAGCGGCATTATTGCAGGAGTTCGAAAGGGCATTTTCTATGCAGGATGTGTTTGCGCAATTGAAAGCACGCACGATGAAGTCAAACGAAACGCCCCGACAATACATTATCGAGATGCAGCTTATCGCTAGTCGCTCCAACATTCCAGAACTGGAATTAATCGATATAATAATCGATGGTCTCCAGGACAAGTCATCGCAGGTATCGATGCTTTACAGTGCCACCACTTTAGCCGAATTGAAGGTACTCATGGAACGATATGAGAAAAAGAAGCGAATCAGAACTCAGTTCGCTAATACAGCCACTGGCGGAAAACAAAAGGAAGGAGCAGCAGCTGGTAGCACCCAGGGCGGTGCAATTAAACAAGAAAATGTCCGCTGTTTTAATTGCTTCGCGTACGGGCATTTCCAAAGCGCCTGTACGGCACCCAGACGCCATCCAAATGCTTGCTTTGTGTGCAACGAAGTAGGGCACACTCGATTCGATTGCCCGAAAAAGAAGACCAGAGGAGTAGCGGCGGCCGTGACAGCAGTAGAAGCAACAGACGAAAATCTGGAAGATCGTCTAGTACGTAGAGTAGTGGAGCAACTTACTGCAAAAAATTGGGTGAGTGTTGCCTTTTGTTTACAGGATAAGTGCACTGAACCAACCTATTGTTATGTTCTCTTTGATACCGGCAGTCCGGTTAGCTTTGTGCGGAAGTCCTGTGTGCCTTCTGGCTTTATTAATAAACAACAATCAACTATATACAGAGGGGTTGGAAATAAACGATTATTTACGTACGGAACGATTACGTGTAAAGTTTTATTTCGGGGAAGTGAAGTTAAACATAAGTTTTTAATTTTACCCGATGACCAAGCAATAGTACCTTGGTTATTCGGACGAGACATTTTGAGCCGAATGGGCATTAATTTATTTAAAATGATTAATGTAAAGTATGACAAAAATGAATTACTTGATTTGCGCAATAAAATAGCAACGAATAAATATGTTAATGACATTTTCAGTGCACTTAACTTGTTTAAAATTTCAAAGGAATCGGATACAAATTTTGTAAGAGCTGCACCCAGCGAGGGAAATCTGCTTGATGAAAGTGGGGAAAAGCTGGCGTTGGTTGAGACCGACGAGGTGACAGAGGAGGAGTTAGACAGTGAGGGCGGGAGGAACGTTCCATTGAGACCATACGATATAAGTGATCAGTTGACAAGAGCAGATGCTGACGCAGTAGAAAGGGTAATTCTTAAACAATATACAGAAGTAGTGGAAGGTAAAATGTTGAAAAGTTACTTTATGAAGATTTCGGTGAAAAGTGACACTCCTGTGTATAGCGTTCCACGGAGACTGTCATTTAAAGAGAAAAAGAAAGTGCAAGAAATAATTGACAGTTTATTGTTGCAAGGGATTATAAGACCCAGTGAGTCCCCGTATGCGTCGCCGATAGTGCTAGTTAGGAAAAGGGATGGGAAGTTACGGATGTGTGTAGACCATAGAGAGCTAAATAAAATAACTATTAAAGATCGGTTCCCGTTACCCTTAATTGAAGACTGTCTAACGTACCTGGCAGGGAAAAGTTATTTTAGTACGTTGGACTTACGAAATGGGTACCATCAGATTCCGATGCATGTAGACTCAATACCGTTGACAGCTTTAGTGACACCGATGGGGCAATATGAGTACAACTTTGTGCCATTTGGGTTGACTAACGCCCCGGCTGTCTTCCAAAGACTGGTGAACCAAGTTCTGAAGCCGTTGATTAGCCGTGGGGAAGTGGTGGTCTACTTAGATGACATTCTAGTGGCCACAGGCACCATTAAGGAGCATAGTGAAGTGTTAGGGCGAGTATTACGATTACTTGCGGAGGCAGGATTGAAACTGAACTTTGATAAATGCAAATTTGCGTATCAAGAGTTGGAGTATTTAGGTTATAGGGTCAGTTGTAAAGGAATCCGCCCCAGCAAAAGACAGGTAGAAGCCATCAAAACATATAGTGAACCACAGACGGCCAAACAAGTACAACGGTGCCTTGGGTTATTTTCCTATTTTAGGAGATTCGTACCAAATTTTTCGCGAATAGCTAAACCACTTAGTCGATTGCTGGGTAAAGATGTCCGATTCGAGTGGACAGCCCAGTGCAAGGACGCCTTTCAGACTCTAAAGAACCGACTGGCGGAGTCGCCCGTTCTGAGTATATTTGACCCGAATCGTGAGACTGAGCTACACACAGACGCCAGTGCGCATGGATATGGGGCCGTCTTGCTGCAGAAGCAGTCGGACCATAAGTTCCATCCAATAGCATATTTTTCAAGAAGCACCACAGATGCCGAGACGCGTTACCATAGCTTCGAACTGGAAACGTTGGCAATAGTTAGGGCTCTGGAGCGATTTAGAGTATTTGTCCATGGAATCCCGTTCACCATTGTGACAGACTGCAATTCATTGGTATTGGCTCTGAGTAAGAAACAGATCAATCCACGGATTGCTCGGTGGTCCCTAGCCTTGGCAGAATTTGATTTCAAGATTAAACATCGGTCAGGAGAGCAGATGGCACATGTGGACGCACTAAGCAGGTCAACGTGTGTAGGCACAGTGGAAGAAAGTGAAGTAGACGTTAACATTCAGATAGCTCAGATGAGAGACCCGGAAATTAAAGAGTTGAAAAAGAAGTTGGAAGTGGCTGAGGTGTCTGGATTTGACATGGAGAACGGACTGGTGTTCCATGTGGAGGATGGTAGACGACAACTCTACGTACCTAGGGAGATAGAAAATAATGTGATTCGACTAGTACATGAGACGTATGGTCATTTAGCGGTGGATAAATGTGTCGACCAGATAAGGAAACACTATTGGTTTCCGGGGTTGAGAAAAAAGGTTAAGAGTTTCCTAGCTAATTGTTTGAAGTGCATTTATTATTCAGGCCAGGCTAGAAGCAATGAAAGGTGTTTGTATAGTATTCGAAAGAAGCCCGAACCATGGGATACTCTACACATCGATCATTTTGGTCCTCTAGAAACGGTGAGGTCTAAGCGCCGGCATGTTCTGGTAGTCGTAGATTCATTTACCAAGTTCGTTAAATTATACGGTGTAAACACTAGTACAAAAGAGACCGTATGTGCGTTGCGCAAGTACTTTACCGATTACAGCCGGCCCCGAAGAATTATCAGTGATAGAGGGTCTTGTTTCACTTCTGTTGAGTTTAGGGAGTTTTGTAGGCAGCATCATATAGAACACGTTTTGAACGCTGTAGCGTCTCCGCAGTCAAATGGGCAGGTCGAGCGGGTGAATAGGGTCTTGAAGAGTATGTTGGCCAAACTCACTGATCCTATTGACCATACAGATTGGAAAAAGAGACTTGTCGACGTCGAATTTGCTATAAACAACACGGTCCACAGTAGCACTAAACAGACTCCCTGTAAATTATTGTTCGGTGTGGAGCAACGGGGACACGTGGTTGACGAGCTAACCGAGTATCTGCAAGGAAAGTATGTTAGTGAAACCGTAGATCTGAAAAGAACCAGGGAGCAGGCGGACGAAGCTATTCAGACGTCACAGAAAAGAAACGAACGATACTTCGACCGCACTCACAAACCGGCCCAACAGTTTGAGGTTAGCGAGTTTGTCGTGATCAAGAATGTAGACACTACAGTGGGTAAAAATAAGAAGCTTATTCCCAAATATAAAGGACCTTACGTCATCCAGAAACAATTAGGGCACGACCGTTACGTTGTGACCGACATAGAAAATTGCCAGAACACACAGATTCCTTACAGCAGTATCCTTGACTCGAGCAGACTCCGACGCTGGGTGCAGTTCAGCCCGGGTGGCGATGATCCGAGACAGGAAGGCAACAACTCTTTAAGCCCAGACGATGAAGTAACTAATTATTCATATAATGATGATGAGTGTACCGACTATGAGTATTTGGAAGAGACCGAGGAGCCCCACTAGCGGCAATCGTGGGCGATTGTTTTGTCAGGTTAAGGCCGAATTGTAGTACATCTGATGTAACGCCGAACGAGGGGCAACCCCGATTTGGGTGGCAACCCCGGTCTCCTCAAAATGGTGATGGTCGAAAATGACAGTTCAACTGTTTCCGGTGTAATGAATGATGATTATTTCGATTGGTGTGATTCTGTTCACATGTGACAGAAGTTAATCTTAAAATAAAGTTATCATCTGAGTCTGATTATACCTTAAATTGCCTCGTCTTCTTATTTTTGCATGAATAGAAAATATTTAACAATCAATGTCGAAAGCGGAAATAAAAAATTCAAATATAGTATGAAACATTTGTTTTTGGTCCGATTTTCGAAGCGATTTACTCCTGAACCAACTTTAAGAGTCCGAACACTTCTCTACATTTGAACTGTATTATAAACTTCAAACCGCAGTGTGGACCACAATATAACCAGTAATAAACCTTGGGTGAATTTGGCGACTGCCTTCTTTGGGGATGAATATCCCAGGGATGAAATTAATGGCACATGCATAAGCTGACCAACCGTCCTCCTTTGAGGAGGATTGCCCTCCTCAAAAATATTGTCCTTCTCTGTCCTCCTTTTGAGCAAAAATGTCGTCCTTGTCCTCCTGTTCACGTTTTATAGCGGTGATGAAATTTTCCTAAAATTTCGTTCAGAATATTATTATTTCATAATCGTACATAGTCATTGTATTTCAAAGGAGTTTACATTGTTCAACATTCAGTTAAATGTAAACTTTTGATTCAACTAACCACCCGTGAAAGTGGAACAGTACACACGCCTTTTAGTCTTAATCAATAATATTTAATATGGCTTTCCCACGGCACCCAAATTACGTGGTTCGCTCCCTCATTCATAATTCGCACTCCAATTACCCTTCGAATTATATAATTCGCCATACAAAATTTTGACAGCGAATTACCTCATTCAATTTCAAATCCAATTAGAATGCGAATTACGAACACATCGCTGCCTTCTCTAATTTTTATCCGAAATTTATCGAAACCAGTTCACAAACCAAAACTGGCACTTTTTCTGAGTACGAAAAGTAAAGTTTATACATGTGTACATCACCAATTTAATACGGAAACTTACAGATTTTTAGCAATAGGGCTATTCGCGATTCGGTGCATAAGAGCTGACAAATTTATGCAATTGCAGAAATATGCCATGGATTGTGAGCGACCTTTATTAAACTGTCATGGTAAAGCTTTTGCAAAACAATTTTTGTGCATCAGCTTTGGTTTTCTTTATGAATGCAATGCATAGCATTTTTATGCTATGGATTTTCGGTATTGCAAATTTGCCAAGCCATGACAAATGCAAATGCGTGTATTTTGTTTGTGTATTGCAAATAATTTGCAATACAAATTTGCAATGCAATGATGCTAGGCCATTTGCACCGGATCGCGAATAGCCCTAATAACTTACATTGTGGATAAATTTTGTAGCGAAGAAAAAAACAAAACACTGTCAAATCGAATTAAGAATGTGCCCGTGGGAATGAGCTAATTCGCGATCGTAGTAGGAGAAGCGAACAAAGTAATTAAGCCGTGGGAAAGCCGTATTACCCTTTACAACACTGAAAGACAAGCTAACGACGCGTCTTCAAAGGTGAAATTTATTGCCTACCATATGCCATTTTGTTTGCCAAATATGTATAAGTTTTATCAGGCAATATTTGTCTGTGGGGATTTTTCATCTTAATAAAAGCATTTGTAAGATGGCTTAAAAAAGTATGTTTGTTGCATTGGAGCGTAAAAATGCTTAACAAGTTTTAGAAAATATGTTATTTCACGTCCAAGTACATAATCAAAAATAACACAGGCCCAGCGGACTGTTTTCCCGGAAATTTTCCACTTATTGTTATTACTGTAAACGAGTAATTATTGGATATATATATCAGGGTGATCAAAAATAACTAATCTGACGAATTTACGGCCTTAAAATTGACTATTTACTGAGAAGGAAGTTCTCCCACTTGAAAACATTTTTATTTCAATTTTAAAAGTTGTCAGTCGATTCTTGAAATTT